GGAACATCTTGGGTTCCTAGTTCCATGAGCAAGCCAGGAGGATGAAGAGGAAGATGATAAAGATGATGCCGGGAAAGAAGAAAACGAAGAAATTAAAATTAATTATGATTTAATTATGCCACATCATAAAAAAAAAAATGTTCACATTGAATTAATAAGATGACATAACGATCATGTTACTGTTTGATGCCACGTATTACAATTTTTAACAGTTATTAATGGTTCCGTAACGGCACGTTAAAATATTAAGTTTTTTACGAGTTTTGAAAAGTTGAGGGTGTGAATAAGAAAGAAAAATTTTGAAAGGTGTTGACCATGAAAAAGAATTAAATGGAATGTGCAAATAGGGGTTTTAGCCAAACCCAAAAGCGTAAAGCCCACCTACCCAAAAACTAAACCCAAAAAACCCACAATTTACCCAAACCCAAAAAAAAAAAAGCAAAGATCCTTCCCCCGTTCTGAAAAGCCATTCTGTAGCTTTGCAAGTGGTTTTACGCCTTCTTTGGTCATCAGTTCCTCTTCGCATTCATGTCCTGTTCTTCATCAAGATGGCCCACACTTCAGAAGCCTTGTACGAGAGACAAAGACCAAAGGCTATTAGTCCTTTGCTTTCTAACCTGCAGAAATCAACTGTTGTTGAGAGGTTGAAAGGGTTCAATTTTGGTGTTTTAAGGATCAAGGGTGGAGAAGAAATGGGCCGGATCGAAAGGCTAGGGATATATCTAGGTTCGTTTTTCTTTTGCTTTTTGCTTTTAGTATAAATAGGGGTGATGAGGAGTAGAAATGGGGGTTTTTTTTTTTGGTTTGGATGTGGTGTTGACGGCGAAGAAAAGGAGGGATTTTTCTGCTGGAAGGAGATCGTTTTGTGAAAGGAGATTGTAGATTTCATCTCATTGCTAGGAATAGCTCTCAACAGAGGATTCTTTTTTAGGAAAAATGGTGAAGGAGATAGTGGAAGCTTAATCCTGTGGGAGAGATTCCTTCTATCAGATCAAGATCTATTTTTCTTTTAAAGATCTGTCATGCTTGTTTTTATTTTTCTGTGGGTTTATGCTTTTCTTTTTTAGATCTAATGTTAAGCTTGTATATTTGTCATTGGAAAATTGAATGAAAAAAATCCAAAAAAAAAAAAATGTCCAGTTCATTTTGCTTGATGAATGTGCTTTTTCTCTTTTGATAAATGTGATTTTTTTATGATGAACGTGTTCTTTCTTTTGAAAATGATGAACTCTAATTTTAAGTTTCTTTTTTTTTATGTTTAATCTGTTTCTGCCTACTTTGAGTGATGGGTTGTATTTCTGGATTAGGTCAACTCGACGCGATCTAGTAAAAGAAAGAAGGCCAAAAAAAAAAAAAAAAACTAAAACGAAACAAAAAAAAATGTATATATATATAAGAATGATTAGTAATTAAGTAGGTTAATCAGTTTAATTTATTATGGTTAATGAAATTAATTAACTTTAATTAAAATAAATTAAACATGTTTGTTGACTTTAATTTGAGATTATTAGATTTATTTGATGATCTTAATTAAAGGTTGATAAATATGATTAGTTAATTTTAATTAATCTTAATTAATGTCAAATTAATCATTTAATTAAACTAATTAAACTTAAATCCTTAATTTTCTTTAATCTTGGTCAAAGCCAAAATTATCTTTATTTATTTCAAATTTCACCCAAAACGTTTATAATTAAGCAATTTAGTCCAAAGGTTTCAAATCTTTTCAAATCAGTCCTCTATGTTTGTGAATTTAATCTTTACTTGTGCTCATGGTGCATACATATCTTTGATTTTGTCCATTTTAGTCCAAAAGTTTAAAAGATGTTACAATTTGGTCCATCTATTTCTCAAGCTTACTTATTACACTACTAGAAAACCTTAAATTACCAATCAAATATCACCAATGTAAAAGTTTTTGCCGGTGAACTACTATTTTACCGACAAAGAATATGTCTGTACAAAGTAAAACAGTAAAATTAATATTAAGTTATATTATTTAAAGTTCACGTGAGTACTTTGTTGATAATTTCATCCTACCGAAACATGAATCTTGTCAATAATATTGAGTCTGCAAAACTTTTCCAACCAGTGGCTAGATTTGCTCTTACCGACAAAGCTCACCTCGAAAACTTAGTCATGTTGCAACCTGCATTTGCTCATTGATAGCCTACCAATATACCAACAAGTTTCCTATCAGTAACTATAGTTTTCTGCAACCATCATCTTCTCGGTGATGGCATTGGTGAGGTAGGATTCTGATGAACTACAGGAGTTGGTTAGCTTTTTCATTTTACCAACAAGCTTCTCATCGATAGGTCTGCTTTCTTGGCAACCAAGAGTTGGGTTAAAGTATACAATTGGCCTCTTACGTTATTAAGTTTAAAGTTTTTAGTCCCTCACCCTAAACTATGAAGTTTTTTAGTCCTTAAATTTAAAGGTTTGAAGATTTTAGCCCCCTCACTAATGAAATCCATTAACCTTTTGTTAAAGTAAAAACATAATATTTATAAGATCAATCCTCAAAAATTAAAAATGTAATAATTTAATTTCAAAAGTTTAAAAATTAAAAAATTACTAAATTAAAAATAATTAGCAAATATCTCTACCATATACATAAGAACAATATTAGATATCTAAAATAAAATTGAGTGAATAGCTCAATCTAAAGGAAAAACTTTGACTAAAATTAAAGAAAATTTCTTAACTATATTCTTTTAGTTTCTTGGAGTTTTTGTCTTGACTCAGTTAAAAAATTTTCTTTAATCTCAGTTAAAATTCTTTCTTTAAATTAAGCTAATCACTTAATTTATTATAGATATCTAATATTGTTTTAGTATACATGAAAAATTCATCTATTAATTCTTTTTAATTTACTAATTTTTTAAAATTTTAAACTTTTGAAACTAAATTATTACATTTTAAAATTTTGAGGACTAATCTTGTAAATATTTTATTTTAACGGAGAGTTAATGGATTGTGTTAGTCAAGGGGTTAAAATCTTCAAATTTTTAAGTTTAAGGGCTAAAAACTTTATAGTATAAGGTGGGGTTAAAACTTCAAATTTAATAAGGTAAGGGGTTAAGTGTATGGTTTAGCCCCAAGAGTTGGTGCAGAATGTTGGTTCCACCATTTTACAAATTATGACCACGTTGAAAAAGTTGGCTGCCAACAAATCTCTCATTAGTAATGGGTGGCAGGATTGTCAAATTGCACTTTAACTTGCCAACATAAACGTAGTGGGTAAAGGAAGATGTTGAATTACCAACACAAATCTTGTTGGTAAATAAAAGGTGGGATTTCAAAATTTTTGTATTTTTTTACTCCCGCTGAAATTCACTTTGTGCTGATGTGGATTTTGTCAGTAAATATTATACCGACAACAAACACATAGATAAATGCTCTATATATTACCAAATCTGTGTTGGCCATTCATTTTTTCTTCCCTTCCTTCTTCTTCTTTCTTCTCCTCCCTTATCTGTTTCTCCTTCTTCTTCTTGCATCCAAATGCTGCCAAATTTTTTCTTTTTTTTTTTTGGTTTATAACTACATTATAGTCATGTTATTTTTAATTTATATGTTCTCAGTTTCCTCTCTTCTTCTCTTCCATTCTTTGTTCTTAATTGATTTAACTTTAATTTGAGCTATTGATCAATTTATTTGCAATTCTAATTTTTTTTCTTAATGTTGTTTGTTAGGAAACGTTATAGGGAGATAACCAATAGGAAAATAAATTTTATTTATGTAAACTAAAATTAAATTTTAATTATATTTTGATTATTATTATTATT